ATGGTCTTATAGGGATCAGCCCACAGCATCACTCTTCCTCCACCATACATTGGTTTCACAGCAGACCCACTTGGTGATTCTGTCACTAAAAGCCTCTAATGCGTGAAAATCTCCCAGCTGTTTACATTTGTGACAGTTGGGCAGGGAAGACCTTTTACAGGGAACCAGATGTAGATGGTGTTGTCATGGTGATGTCAAAATCTCACCCTTATTTATCCTCTGACCCGGTATAATCAAAGTTACATTTTATTCCAACAAAACACAGACCAAGTTTTAGCCAATCAGAGAGGAGATCCCAGACTAGGGAAAGTCTTCATTAAACTTACAGATGATGCATTGATAAGAAAACTGCTTCAGATACATTTAATCAAAACATCAACTATTAATTTTAACATTGAATGAATGAGGCGTTTAAAGGCTTGTCTTTATCAGGTTAAAGTAACCAGATAACACAATATTAAACACGTTAATAATTACTGCATTATTCCATCCTGCTGAAGAACACAGAGGACACTGCTCACCTCTCCCTCTGTCTCCTGCTGGGCTACAGGTGGCAGGTGTCTCTGAGCCTCGCTGGCTTCATCCACAGGTTCGTGTCTCCGTGTTTCCAATGCAGAAGAACCCGCCCGTGTCCACAGAGTGAGTGAGGCAGCTTTAGAGAGCTTAGGTAGCATTAATGAGCCAGATAAGTAGGCCAGCAGGAGCCTTGGCTCCACCTGCTGCTGCAACTAGCAGCTGATTACCAGCTCAGCGCCGACTCCTTCACGCTGTCATTAAACACGTCCTGGAAGTGAAGTATTAGGGGAGGATTTTGGAGACTGGTGCTGCGGTCCTCCAGGATGGAGGGATTGTGGAAACTCTACATTTGTTGAATCTAGGAAAACATTCCTGCTCCATAGGGAGTATTGGCTCTAACTCTGAGCATATCACCATGGTAACAGACTCTTTTTGTTGTTTGTTTTTATCTCGTTCTGAAACTGCTTCTGAATTTTCCTCCACTACAGGAGAATGAAAACAAACAAGTTGTAGGGAAGCGGCTGTTCCAACTGTTTTTACGAATTCCCCCGAGTGGTGCCCGACTTTACATGAGGGAATAAAGTGAATATAATTGGTCGTTTATCAAGGGGCGGGGTTGTTGTGGTCGAAGGTTTGCAAAAATTTTGGTTGTGGCCTGTTTGTTGGAAGCATCTTGCTAACCAGTTAGCAACTTAGTGCTAGCAGGTTCCCAATCGGTCTCCGCCAGTCACGTGACTTTTCTTGCTA